CCGACAATCGAGAGAAACCCTCTTCCAGAGGGATCTGCTTCCTAAGCACTTTGGATATTGAGACCGAATGAACATGGAGTGGACTGTGAATCCCAATTCGTTTACGATGGAATATTGCATCGCTGTCTTGCTTTCCGACCGACGAGAAGTAATAAAAATCATATAATAATCGTTGAGCTGTAAGACTCTTTCGGTGCATACCTACCATGCCACCAGCCGAAGGAAGCACGTGGGCTGAGATACTACCAGGGTGCCCAAGCCATCTGGACAGGAATAGTCGATATACCGAGGTGGGACTTGAACCGTCCGGTCAGTAAATTCTCACCCAAACCACAGAGCCACCTCGAGCTGGGCCAACGAGACCATATAGCCGACTCGAATTCCGGGAGCGTAGGTCATCGCCTCCGAAGTGTGACACAAGTCACGCCTCCAGATCAGGTCTCTGTCCCGTCTGCTGCCCTCAAAGGGTTGCTTGCCCGCCTTAAACCGCGCACTTGTGGAGGCAAGTACACAGGTGGTGCAGAAGAACAGTTATCTGTTCATTTATCTGAAAACCCACTTAGTTGATTATTCTGATTATTACGGGTCACTGGTCCTCACAACAGGGGTTCTCCTCCTTCTTAAAAACAAGTTCCTGAAAGCCTCAAACTGAATTTTCAAGGACACCTCGTTTCCCTATTGCCTCTGTTTTGGTAAGGACAAACCAACTCTGCCTCAGATCCTTTCCGTTTCACGCCATGGACATAAATCTGTAGCCTCATGTTTCCCGTCTTCTAATCTCAACCGGAATATCAACGACTCTCACAACTAATCCAGGTTCATGATTTTTTCCACCTCATCTTGTGCGTGCTTTCTTAACCAAACCAGACGTTGCAAAAACAACACAGCTCTAACACTTTCGTCAAATGGTGGTTTTTACTCGATGCTTGTTTCATGCTAATCGATAATCACAGCCCAAGGCTTGTAAAGTTAAGTTGACCCATCGATAGCCTCATCATCAGAGGCAAGTCATCATCATCATCGACACCATGACATCAGTGCTCAACACCGATGCTTCGCTGCCGTACAACCATGACTTACTTGAAAGCCTTATTATAAAGAAAAGAATAAAGATGGACGGGGGAGGGACTTAGTGCTAGCTTACCACAATCATTGCGAGGTGCCTACACCTCCAGACATTCACTCAGGCAATCTGGATAGAAACTGACAACAAGAACGCCACTGACATCGGTTGGCAGCCACAGATTGTAGTGTCTCCAACCAGGCACAGTGAGGATCACGCGGTCCCCATCCCGGAAAACGAGTAGCACTGACAGCACCCAGGTGTTTCGTAATCTCCTCTGCCAAGTCAAGGGTTGACCAGCTCTCTGTTTACGCCACTCTGAGTTGGGCATGGAAAACAGCACTCTCTTCGGCAAACGATGGTTCGGCATACTAACACATGTCCCAACCAACGCAGCTTCTGGCGCTGGTCACAATCTTCAATGAAAGTACCCGTTGCACAACCGAAAACACGCTTTCTAACTGCCTCGTTACGGATTCGCCGACACCACTCAGATGCAAGAACATTGTGCGGACTCAGCCTTGGACTCATGTTCGTGAGCAACCCGTGGGGGTGATGCCCACTCCATCTGTCACAGTAGCCATTCGCCATAATGTGGAGCATCGACAAACGTCTACCACCAGTAGTCGTATCATCATCATGTGTAAGCGAAAAAAGTCAACCAAACAAGAGAGGACCACACGTCACACGATGACTGACAGAACCCCCCATGCGTATGATTGCACCGGACCGAGTTGTTTAGATAGAAGCCCTCAATGGACGTGTAGCATAGACAAAGCCCGATAAAAAAACGGGTCACCAAAGAAGTACCAAATTTTTATGAGAACGAACCGATGAACAAAGTGCATGTATTGCGCGCGCGCACACGCACGCACGCACGTCCAGAACACTACGATGCAAAGCGTGCGTACGTGCGTGCATACAGCCCGAAGTAAACACGTGTGGATGACCGTGGCCAGAAGGGACCTGATGCGTTTCGAAACAGAGCATAAGTGCATTATAAAAACCGCCGTCCCAGCAACTGCACCGACAGCTGTTGTCGGGGCTTAAACCGATTGCGAAGCTGAATGTGACAACCACGAGCACCTGTTTTCCCAAAATAATGAAGCAGGATAAGCAAAATGATTGAGTTCAGCTCCAGCTTGATGCCGATGTAGTGGACTCGAAGTCAAGGTCACGTGAATCATCCAGCTACGGCACAGTCACCACGCAACGCGTGGGATGCGCGGGGATTGAGCCGGAATAGTCTTTCAGTTGCACGCTGCGTCTAAAAATAAGGAAGCAATAAGTCATTGCATTCGAAACAGCATAAGCTCTGTTTCGCTAACGGCCACCCATCCCTTGGTTACTTCGGCAATACCGGGGCTCGAACTAGTCAACCACGGATAAAATCGCCAGTTTTCCCAGCAAATATTCTCATTTAAACACGATATTCGGGTTCAAGTCATCCTGTCTTCGTAGTAAGAATGAAGGAGATTGGCGTTAGTACACTTATAGATGAAAAAACGAAAAGCTGGCGCAGTTTCTCGAGTACCTGATCAAACGGGAAATTAGGAAACTGATCAGTCTAATCTTGGTTATCCTCTAAAATTAGCAGTGTGTGAAGTGCTACTTGATGTCTAGAATGGGATCTTTTCCAGATAAGCCCCGCCACTTTGTGCCAGCTCCAATTTAATATACGCACACAACCTTGACCTAGTTTTGATGAAAACAATTCCCCACCGCATCTCGGCTCATTTTGTGCTCTTCGGACGTAAAACCTTGAATGAACTTTCTGACGCTTTCAACTCTTGTTCATGACAACGAGACGGCAATATGTTTCTTGCAAAGCCACGGAGTGATCCATCAGCAACGTTTATGCAACAATGGACACCAAATGACACCTCCAACTGTTTCTGACAGGTGGAGGTGTAATGCCTGACAGTGTCGGCTAGAAATCGGTCTTCGAAAGGGAACTTAGTTGGAGCGGTCTAGGATGGAGTTTAGGACGGTAATTCTATTCATTTATTGCTGGTCCCAAAACTTTGGCAAAAATTAAATTCTGCTCAGAGATAGCATCTGTTAGCCACACGGTCGCTGTTGACTGGAAGAACTTTCTTCGCGAAGTTTGCGCCTGGCAGCTTTTGCAGACTCCAACAGTCTACAAGATGCAGAATAAACGCCAATGCAACAGACACGGATCTTTAGTGGACAGCTAGTTGTTTTGAGGCAAAGTTACCGAAAAACGGACCTTTTTTATGCAAATTATTAATGACATGTCCCAGTGCCACCCTATTCAATAAGTACAAATTTCATATCCTCTTTTTTCTGATCTTTTTTGGGTGGCAATGGTTAATTTTCTGGCGGGGTTCCTCTGGAAAAGATCCCCAGAATGCAAACAGATGAGATAGAACCACAAGAGAGACTTCCTAATGTCAAAAGTCATGTAACCACGGAAAGCCAACTAAAGTCCCACTGTCTAAGTGGGGCAGCCTTACACACTCCTAGGTCTATTGTAAAGAATTATTCGAACCTATACGCTATATTGGTTTGAAGGAACGCCTAGTGGTGATTGGCATTTAACGACATCACTTTTCATCGATTGACAATTTGAAAGAGTTTGCCTCAGTGAGTATCTCTCAGTTCGAAGTAGATGAGCCTGTTCCGTAAGATATCCCATACGGAAACTGGGTAAATCTCACAAGATCTTACAGGATGATCGTCGGAAAATTGCTTGAACAAGATGTAGGCCTAGGAATAGCTGTTGACTGATTTGCGGACGCTTCCTCGCCATTCGAGGCGACGTCACCTGCGTGCACGAACCCAACAGTGCACTGAAAATTCACCCCCAAATTGTGTTTGCAAGTCAACGGCCAAACTCCGCGGCGAGACAAACGGCCAGCCGATCGGTAGTCAATAAGTAGACCCCAGGTGTCATAAGTTTGACACACTACTAGACTCATGAGTCGTCAAACAGCGTAGGTGTGGTGCAGTGAACTTTCATACATTAACTGGATGCACACGATCTTCACTCCGAGGCGGGTTCTCAACTCACGCTCCAAAATTACCTTTCTGTCAGAATGATGCCAAATATCCAAAAGTTGTCGATCAGAATCAGTAAAGGCATACTAGTACTCTATGTGAGGACTGAATACCAGCCAGCTCAGCACAATTTTTCGCCATTTTTCGTGCATTGCTTTGTGCAATGAGCTGAGCAAGCTGCTTCCTACTTTCGGTGTGCCCCTGAAAAAATTTACTGCGGCCAAGGTCGGTGACAGCATCGAGTTCGTACCGAGACGCGCTGTCGAGTGCTATAACAACGAACCAATGCGTTCGTAGCAAAGTCAGGCGATGCTTGTCACTGTGCGATTCCTGTCCCGGAGAGAGAGGAGAGCAACAATATAGTTCGAGACTGTATATATGCGCTCTCTGATGCCACAGTGACTGAACAACTGAGCCGATCCTAAAGGAATCTGAGAGGACGAAGCTACAAATAATAGGAAGAAAAGTTATGACCGGGCAGGCGGATTACTCATCTGCAAGAGAAGATATTGACAGAGTCGAAAGCCCAAAGTTCGAATCTCCAAACTCACCTCAACGGTGAAACAAGACAGATGGGATGTGGCTCGAGATGACTCAGTGTTTAAAGCGCGAATTTACTCACCAGAAGTTCCGTGGTTCCAGAACAATCTCTGCTTATCGGTCACTCCTGTAAAGGCTTGGGCAACCTGGCAGTATCTCAGCCCTAGAACTTACGGGGGTGGCATGGCAGATAGGCACCAAAAGCGTGTTACAGCTGAATTATCACTTTTATTATTAATACATGTGGCATTACTAACCGACGAACCAGCGTGCACCTGCAGCAATACCAACTGTTGCAATCTAAAAGAAAACGCCCACTAACCAGAGCCATTTTAATAGCCTCCTTGAAAGGCAGATTAATTGCTTGAAGACTTACTAGCATTTGTGTTGAATAGGGCAATTCATCCAAGCGCAGTCTCAGATAGGCGAGCAGGCGGTCTGGTCCAAGAACACCCAGCACGTTCCCACTAGTTGGATCCATCACCATCAGATGTGTGGGCGAGAAGATATCGTTGGCGGCAATGGGAAAGTGAGAAGACGCTTTTGTCGAATCGGAAAGCGATCTAACACTGACCGGGGTGGATGCTACCTGTTGCAGTGGCTGATGGTGTTTCATCCCATTGCTTGAATTCGCCTCATCCATGGCAAAGCAACATTCGGCTGCATCGCTGTTACAGTCAACCGAATGGTGTTGCACCGGCTGTTGGCTTCTTTGACTCAGCGCATCTGGGAAGGCACTGTGTTGCGGCGAAGCGTACGAATTCAGTTTACTTTTGCGATGAAGCAGTCGAGAAAGTGCTTTACGCAGCCGAGTCTGGGGAGACACAATCACGTCGACGTCGAAAGGATCAAGTAGGCACATTCCGTGATCATGTTCCGTATGGAAAACACCTGGAATGCAACAAAGCCCATCAAGCGATTTCGTATAGCAGCCAACTGCTTGTTTTTTTTTAGTAGAAAACACAGATGGAAAGTACAAGAATGGGAAACCACGAGGAAACTGATGTATTCGGATTGTCTTTCGGTGTGATCACTCTTGAAGAGGTCTGTGAGGACAAACGAGAACTCAAGATTCCATTAGACAGATGTGTGGTGAATCAATATGGAATCTAAGTGCATACGTATGATGCGGTAAACCAGGCAATGGTGTACTCGTGCGGCGAGTGAGAGGTCATGGTTTCGAGTCCCGCTCTCGGTGTCTTATGTACATGGGTTCCCAGTAAATATGGCTATATGTTCAAGATGTCCGAACCCTTCGTTCACCTCTTCATAACATGTCCAGCATCGCTTGCTTTGCTTACGTTTAGAGAAAAACCACGTTTTGAGAGTTAAAAATTATTAGATGATTATGCAAGCAATTGAATAAACTCTGTAGAAGCGATCCTCAGTAGGAACAAACACCAATGTGCACATGGAGAACCTTGAGGAAGGATGGAAGTCGCAACCTTCTGGACAACGGCCGACCACCATACACGGACGGCTGATCAGCATCATATCCTCACACAGCTCGGACTAAGCTCGTGTGATCATCTGTCGACTGGCTCCCGATGCGACAACTACTCACTGGAGGTCCATGACAGGTTGATGAAATTCCTCCCGAGCGTCTTGCCCCCATTTCATAAGAAGAGTAGAAGGAAAATATATGAATATACAAACTTTAATACCAACAACATTTTCATCGTAGCCTCATTCATTCATAGCGAATGGTGCTGAGTGGTTGAAAAGTGGAAGATTGACGAAAAATGAGAAACAAGTAGGACAGAATTATGACATGGCATCATTCCATCGTGAGAGATTTTCGTCATAGTCTCAGAAGGTTTCCCTGTTAACCCTCTAAAAACCAAGTTGTCGTTTTTTCATGACTGCGTGGATGAGCGACACTTCTCAATCTCCATTTCGCAGTAGTCCCTACTTCTGTCATCATTAGCAGAGACAGACACTACCCTACGATCATACAGTCTACTTAATGATATTCGAAATCTTGAAGTGAAATAGTGCACAAGACAGGGGATCTGGTGCTAGCCTACCTCGAGCTGTTTACGGTGACTACGCATTCAAATGTTCAATCACACAAGCTGAAAAGAAACTGACAGCACGCACGTCAACAAGTTAGTTCTGAAGTCAGAGGGATTTGTGTCTCTGTGCAATCGTCTTTCCAGTTTGCCACACAGAGCCCCAGTCGGATGAGGACCACGACAACAAGTTGACCAAACTGATTTCCTCAAGGAATAGAACAAGCCCTGGACGTGAACCAATTCACTGTCTTGCTGAAACATCGGAGCTCAAGTTCCGATTAGGTCTGCTACTACCGAACGAAAACGGTTGAATTCCATCCATTAGAGATGGACCCACGATGGAAACCAGTCACAATTCCTGAAAACTTCCACATGCTAGTGCGCATCGATCATTAAAAAACCTCTAAAGAGTCCCACAAGAGGGGTCACATCGTCTTTACCTGTTTTGGCCTGTAACCGGGACCAAAGTAGTTTAGCAGAGACCGGTCAGATACTCAATTCGCCTCACAATTTCCAAAAGCTGACGAAGAATCCGAATTTGGTAGAACATCATTCTCCGAAAATCGATCAATTTTCAAAAATTTTTGTCTTAAAAGTCCAAATATGTGATTTGGTGAATCCGGGGATATCTTCAACTTTGACGTTCCCGGGTAACACTGAACGGGTTTTCACCAGAAAGGGGAAAAGAGCATTGGAACTCGAAAAATGAACATGAGCTATGTATGGCCGACTCACGTAGAACTTCGCACAAACGCCTTGTGCCCCACATTCGCAAACCATCTGTCAACTGGTTGTTGTGTGCTGCTGGCGACTTTGCTTGGGTTCCCGAATCACCCAACACCGTGTCCTGATTTGACGAGTCCGCTAGGGTGATCGATGAGTACAAGGAGGCCAGCAGATGTAATGCCAACTCCTGGGAGAACAAACCCGTGACAGAATGTGTTGGTGCGTGCCAAATCGGAGCAGCTTGGACACCATTCTCCAGCAGGACGCGGATAGCGCGGACGGCCTTGAGGTTAGAAAAACACAGTGGTCATATAACAGAGAGTGGCATGACGGTTAGTGAATGGAGACAAAATATGATCCTGGCTCCCTGACGAAACAAACTGCTTATGAGGTCTGTGACTGGTTTCGTTCTTCTTGAGGTTCATTAGCTAGGCGCAGTCCCTGAGTTCAACCACATGAACCCAAAGCACAGACAATTCAAGAATCGCACTCATTCAATCTCATGGGAAGAATCAGCTGAATCTCTCTGAAGGAGAAGGGCAAAACCGATGGTGAGCTGTCGAACACTTTCAGCAATCTTGGGTGCAGTGGGTTCTGCCAAGAAACTACACTTCGACATCCGAATACCGTACCAATTGAAACATGAGGCGGCTCTTGTTCAGTTGAAGAATACCATAGAAGAATTCATATGAGCGTCCCGTTAAAAGCGAATTCATTCAAAATGAGAAGATTACGCGAGTAATTATTGGTCTGTTCGCCAATTTGAATATGCAATATAACGAGCAGAGCAATCGATCGACTCAAAGGATTTTCACACCACACTGCACCACATATATTGGATGGGCCAATCAAAACAAACAGTGAAGACGACGGCGTCCACTGAACCAATCACATAAGAAGGAGTCAGACCATGACGTGACAGAGGTCTACAACGGACCAGCAACCAACCAGAGAGCCGGAAACACCATTGAACAATCACAGCAGAGATGAGTACTCCACAACTAAACAATATAAACTCAACCAGAGAAGATGCAGAAACCAACCAAATACCCACTAATGAGGTCTCCTAGACCGCTTGCAAACAAGCTGCCGAACTTCAGTGAACAAGTGAACGATTAATGAGTGCATCTGAGCTACCAATATTCCGCAATATAATCGACCCGTTTTGTAGAAATATATATAGACAAACAAAATTCGCACATGGTTCCTGAGGCTTGACGTTACTAAGATTTGTACCCCAGATCTATGAAGGGCGTAGCTAGCATGTTTCCACTATTCCATCAGTGTATACTGAACGAACTTCATTATCGCGTTCGGACGTCTTCATGCATGAGCGACGTGGAGGGTCTGCTGAAGTACCCCAGCAACAAGCCAGCAAGCGTCCTGGTTGTGCCGATCGGCTGAATCGCGCGTCAGGTGGCCCCAGCGGCACTTGAAACCTGCTGTACAGTTTGATCTCCAAAAAAGCCAATAGAAAGGAGCCAGTTTTTCATTCAGTGTGAGTATATTGTCATAGTATTTGCTGGCTACGTCCAAATGGACAGTAACTTGGTCACGCCTAACTCCAAACGCTAGAGGCCATCCCGATAAAAGTCCGCTAGACTGGAGAATTCCTGGTTGGCTGCAGCTTAGTACGCGATTCATCGGGAAAGGGATCACTCAGGAGAGCCAAATACCCATCTCCCCTCCCCCAAGGTGTTCTTGTTCGGGGGTGTTACCGCAGAAGGAACCTCTTATGAGCAGCTGCGAAGTTTTTGGAACCGTAACCAAATCATCCTGTTCTGATTGGCCAATGGGGAAGGCTGTGGGTTCGAGTTTCGGCGTGCTTGGTAGCTGCAACCACTGTACGATAAGTACGCGGCTCTTACAGCTGATAATGGTTCTTGAAGCTCATCAGCCCCTGCTGGAACCTGCGTTTCGGTTATCTAAAATGCGAAGCAAACGTGCTGTTACCGACTCATCAGCGCATCTGAGCCATCGCGTCAGGATAGGCGAGCATATTTACGCTTGAGAGATGCTCAAGGGGCCACAATGACGCTCCTGGTCGCTGGGTCGTCAGTCAGATCTTCCCGTCCAAATAACGCCCCAGAGCACCATCTGAGACCTTTTGGAAATCTCTGCTCGATTTTGGCTACCAAAGAGGATCGTCCTTGGATCAGCATGATTTTCCCGTGTTTGCACAAGCACAGGAACTTGCTGCGATCTGGTGTGCCCAAATTGCTGTCGCACCTACGGTTATTGCTATAGGTCGACTATCCGTGTGAATGGTGTATTTGTACACATGACTAAACACAAGTGGAACAGAAACCAGAAGTTTCACATGATTCAGGGTCGGCTACACTTGATTTTCTCTTCCACGTGGCGAATCACGTGCGTTTTATTTGGAAAATTCAGTCCCAAAAGTTCCAATAAACAGGGAGGTTCCTCGCGCACGTCAAAGGAGCAGATGATTTGCATATAAGAAATCCCGATTTCATGCGGTCAGACTCAGAAGGCGGGGCGCGCCTAGCACAAGCATACTTCAAGAATGATTAGAACACCTCGTGAAAATCAAATCTGTAGTAGTGTCGAGGTGTTTTTTCCACAGACGAAAAAAAGGAAAATCAGGCCACCTTTCGAAAACAGACATTCCTGGATATTTTTAGAAAAAATGTGGTGGATTTCAAAAAGCGCAGCCACAAGAATGTTGTCACCCTTATCGGGACTTATCAGGTGAGCGAAATGGAATCGAAACCCTTTGGGGGGTTCAAACTCTTGTCCACTAGACCACATGCCCAGAGAGGTCCGGAAACTGTTCAGGACAACTCAAAGAGGAGTCGATAACAGCTCTGACCTCCAAAAAGTGTACTTGTAATGAATATGGTAATCACAGAGGTGTCAGTTTGACGCCAGTTGTAACAAGGCTTCTAACGCAGTGCTTCTTCGTCGTCTTATGACAGTACTCAAACTCTCCGCTGATGAGCATCAAGCGGTATTTCAACCACGTAATGGATGACCGACCATATCTCGACACTATCATACATCAGAACAGGTGACACGAAATCCCGGTGCTTCTTGAATTGGAGGTTGTGTGCGATTCTACCAAATCGTTCAGTGCTTCTATCCACAAAAGCTGAACACAGAAGTTAGTGAACAGAATCCGGTCCATAAATTCACATACTTCTGGATGTGAGTGCATGAGAGCTCTTTAAGGGTTGTCCGTCAAAAAACAGTGTCCGCGAAGAAATCCATTCTCCCCATTTAGTCATTGATGAACTAATGAAGCGAATACTGGAGGGTCTTTCAAACCTGGATGGTCCTATCGTTGCTAGCGAGGACCTTATCGATCTGGTGTACGCCGAATTAAGCTTTGAAGGCCAAGACAGAGCAAAGGCATTGTTAAATAAACTGACCACCATCAAACCATCTTTCGGCATACGCCTAGCATCTACAAAGAGCACAGTCATGCTTCAGGACGGTCAGCCTTTGAACACACCCCTTGCAATTCAAGAAGCACTAAAGGTTGTAAATGCTCTACATAGCATGTCCTCTGTGCCTCGTTCAGAATGGCCTAAACAGCGAAGAGAACGTGGGACGTGACAGAAGGGCGTTTACGAAGATCTTAGGTGTTGTTGCTGCAATCTGTCTTGTCCGATGGGTTCCCTCCTTCCGATGCTTGGTCGGAGATATTCCAGAGAACGGCGGCTAATCAATATCCAGATTCCCTGGTTGAGCGCTTCAAAAAGTAGGCGCCTCATAATACTTGAGGTACGCTAGCACCGGTTTGATTTTCCGTCCACTCTTTTGTTTCCCCACTTAAAGGCCGTAAATATAATGGGGTAAACTTCACGATTATACGACAACGAAATTCGGTGTTAACACTCGTTGGCTGTATCTGGTGATGAAGATGATTTCATCAACTTAATGCTGCGATTGCTACATTAACTGCGAGCCCTTGTTTGGAAGTGGAGACCATCGTCGACTTGCTGCAGTCGACTAGCTGCGCGACTCCGGAGGGTGAAACAAAAAGCTTCAGTAGTCAGAATTGAACTTTGGCGTGCATTCCTACCTGCCGTCCTCTGTCTAGTCCTTTATTGAACGGTGGTCGAGTTTTATCGAGCTCTCCTCCTTTCCTCTCCTAGCTCTTCCGAAGCCATGTGTGCTGTCGTCCATAACTGAATTTTCTGATCAACTGGAAGGCTCGGATATCAACCGTACATCAGCATGAACGGAGACTTGCCTGTGGTTGAAAGCACGACGTGCCAGCAACACCATCGGCAGCTTCACTTCCCAGTCACTCCTTTGGCCGCCAGCCACTCCTTAATAGTTCGGTTATTGAGTTCAGTTAGGTAAGTTGTCTGTGGTTGGTAGGGTACTATCCCTAGCCGCTTGATACCCAGCTGCTGCAAGCAAGTCCCGAGTTCTTCACCCTCAAAGCAAGCCCGTTAGGATCGTTTTTGGCAACCCGTGGTTGGCCACGATGTGAAGCATGACTACTCCACTGATCGTCTTCGCCGGTTCATTTGGTATGACTGCCGCCTCGAACCGCCGCAACAGGTATCCTGTCATCATTACGACATATTGATTTCCATTAGCTGTCACCAGAAGGGGTTACATGACGTCAACGAACCATAGCTCTCTAATCTCTGAAACAGGGATGAGTTGCCCTGTTTTGTCGATTTGTTCGACGGGTGTTCCACGGCGCAATCAAAGATTGTCTATTGAGCAGAGATCCTTTAGCTCAAAACAATAGCTACGTAAGGCAGTCTCTGGACCATTATAGGTGCGTAATCCGAATAGAGAGGGCAGCATGATGCATGATGCCTCCTCGCTTCAACTATACAACATTCATCAATAGGAAGCAATCTATTGTTCAGCTTGTTTCAGAAGCATTTTGAAATGACTAGCGAATGGAGCTATCACTCTTAGGGACCGACTCACGAAACAACGGGGTCGAAGAACCGGCGAAGAACTGGAACGGTGAAGACGGGAGACATCAATGGTAGCCTGTTTTCACTTGCTCACTCAGCGGTGTGCAGTCGATCCAGCAGATGTCACCAAGCGATGGCTGATGAAACACGTTATGCATCGTTGCAAGTTTGAATACCGCCATAGAACCGAGGTGAAGATATGCACACGATTAGGTCTCAGATTTTAGATGGGAAGGGAGCTTAACGCAATTTAATGCGAACAATTGCCACAAAATTGCTGGGTTCGGCGAATATTCCAATCATCAACTGAACAACAACATTTGTCGGGAACCGCTGGATGGTGCCTTCACCTTATTTTCGGAACCCCAGTTGTTTCGTTCGACTGAATCGAAGGAATGGACTAGAACCACCCACTTCTACCAATAGAACAAGTACCTTAGCGACTGATCTAGTGAGAAGGATTGCTTTCCGTCACTCCTATGCATCTGTTCTTCAAACCAGATTCGTGGCACTTCTACCTAATGGCTTAATAGCTGATTTCCTTCAGTACCATCCAAGCCATATCTCTGGCAACCACCACAATGTCTGAGCTTCTAGTTCGCCGCAACAGGGGATTCAGGGCGTCGTAAAACCTGTCTTTGGCGGCGTCCGAGCTACAATTAGTTGAGACGTAAGCGGACACGACAAATAGACGGCGATCAACTTGCCGCTTGTGAGACTCCTTCACAGACGTTGTCAGACGAACCGCACAGAGGCGACTATCAACAGGTATCCAGTCAAGTAAGGATACTTCCGCCCGGTGACTTAGCACAATACCAACCCCTGCACATCCCACCGCAGCAGCCTCTCGGTCACCAGAGGTGTGGAGCCGAAAGCGAGTGGAAATTTATGGGTTGGTTATCTCAATCACTGTGCTTGCGTCTTGAATTCTTGTTTCTGAGACACGGTACACATCAATGCCAAGCGAGTCCGGTGTGAGTGCAAGAGCAGCCTGCTTGCTTCAGAGTACGGACATATAGAGGTCCCTCAAGAATCCTTCGAAGAGTCCAAACCAACATCCTCCATCAGCCAGAACCCTGGCGAGAAATTGTCCCGCAGACCAAGTCAAAAAGTACTTCTCTCACCGTAACGTCCTCTCTCGAGTGGAGCGGTGCAGCGTTTTTCAACTAAGAACGTACACAATGCGGCAATCACAGTCTGTAAGAAACCGCTATGGTGAGCCAACAGAAGTAAGTCAGTTCTTAAATGGGGAAAAGACAAGCTCTATCGCGACAGCAACTTACCCCCAGTCTCGAATCCACCATTACCAACTTCCCACTGTCTGGCAATACGTCGTAGCAGGTACTATGTCGAAACAGAGTGCTGAACACGTGGTCTTCGTCTGGAAGAGGAAGCAACAATCGATCACAAACAATCGAGGCAAATACATGATCGAATTGTCCGAAGAGGATAATTCAAGGCGAAATATATGCATATTGACAATGACCAATGAACTGTGATCGCCTTTCGGTACATAGCTACCGTACATGAATAACAATGCACTATCAGGTTTTCCAAGCCTGGACAAGAACAGTCGAGAAGCCGGGGTCGGGTTTGAACCAGAGAACACGCCATCAGCAGATCGAGCCGTCTAGACCTCTACTAAGTGCGTATAAGGCTTGGGCCTGACAGATACGGCAATGTCACGCAGCCAATGGTGATCCTGCATCAAAGCTATCGCCTTCAATGCGCAGCTCCCCCACACCGGAAAAACAGAAGCATTTAACATCGGCTGGGCCATCGCCTCCAACGAGTGGCTGTCATTCTCTTATTCTCATTCTCCTAGGTGAACGAAACTGTGGCAGCCGGATTCATTTTCTAACTGACCGACTGAGCAAACCTGGGGTGTATGCAAATATGAAAGATGGGTTAATCGATTCGGCCGATCAGATTCGGCATGACTCGTTCTGAATCTGTAGAAGCCGCCACATGTCCTCCCACTCTCTCTGAAGTC